CTGACATCTGGACAAATATTTATGCATGAAAATGTTCTCTACGGGTTGATTTATAATAGAGAGATACAGTAAACAACTCAAACCTTCAACATTATTGTACTGGTTAAACAATTGATGGTGCCATTATACAATGGAATATTACGTGACCACAAAAAGCGTGTACAAAAAAAGCATTTTTAAGAAAATACAAGATAACATTAAGAAAAATATAAAGGAAAAGTATGCATGGAAAAAAGCATTTAAGGAAAAAGAGTTAAATCCCCTTTTCCCACCCAGCACATCAAACAAATGAAAAATCCAGAGTGATTAAAGAGCAAGATAAAGAAGACAAATATTCTAACAAAATAGAGAGCACATTTCATACCCTCAGGGTGGATGTCCCAAGTAAGCGATGACTTTCAGAGGTCAGGGTGGGGAGGCCAGGCTCACAGAAGGCTGGGGAGGCCCAGCCTCGGGGCTGCTGGCTTTAATCCTGGCTCGGCCTTGTTGGCTGTGCTCTTGCCAAGCTTCTTGGTCTCTTGGCACCGCCCTTTCCTACCCTGGGAAGTGGGCATAGCCTTCATATCTACCTCACAGGATTTGTTGTGAAGATTAAGTGAGTTAATACATGGAAAGCACTTATAACAATGCCTCATCCAAAGTAAACTCTATAAGTATTCGATTATTTGACTACAAAAAATGAAATGAAACTTCTGTAGAGTAAAAGGCACCATAAAGCAAACCAAAGCAAGCAATGGATGAAGAGCAAGCAAGGATAACAGAGATTAATATTTACAGCGATGGAGCTCTAGCTCAAGAGGAAGACAAACCACTTAACAGAAAAATAGGCGGCTCCAGGAGAAACAGGAAAGGTAGGTTACCACATGAAAGCATGCTCAGCGAGCTGCAGATGAACGGCCTTTTCCTCCAGGTGACCAGAAATAGGAAAAGTTGACAGGAGCCAGGGTCGGCGAGGACGCAGGTGTTCTCACACCGCCAGGTGTGATGAAACCCTCTTGAGGGAAGCTGGCAGCATCCCCCAAAGCACAAGCATTATGTCCTGTGACCCAGCCACTGCACTTTCTGGAATCAGTCATAAATATTGAGACACGGCCCCGCATACATGTTTACAAGTATTTGTTGCGGTATTTCAATAGTGAAAGGCTGGAGACAAATGTCAAACAAGAGGGGAACGGCATAAAACGTATGGCATGTCTAAATTATAAAATACTAGTTGATGGCTAAAAAGATTGAGGTAGATTTGTATACCGACATTTACATTACACGAAACACATCTTCATGATTTACTGGCTTACGCAAAAAAAAAAAAAAAAAAAGCAAATCCCAGAAAAATGGATATGAAATGATCCTATCTGTATATAAAAAAAAAAGCAAATCACAGAAAAATGGATATGAAATGATCCTATCTGTATATATATATATAAAAAAAAAAACAAACAAAAAACAAAAACCGCTGGTGTTTTGGCAGAAACCCAGAGAGAAAGAGAAGGCTGTCCCAGCTGTTAGCAGTGTCAGCCCTGGGAAGGGGGGCAGTTTGCACCACGTTCTTCTCTCCCCTCCCTCCCCTGAATCTTGCGCTGCCAGTATCAAGAAGATTGCCAATGATATTCCTCAATTACTTGTTCCAACAAAAAATGAAAGTGATAACATGAAGGAATATTAATGGCATGAGCCAAAATCTACACATCAGAAAGCCGATTTAAGTATGTCAATTTAAAAAATAAAAGTTAAAAACAAGAGAAAGAAGCTAGCAAGAATGGTGCCCCAAAGTAAAAAGTGGTGGCCTCTGGAGAACGGGACTGTAGGGTGTCTTTCCTTAATCGTTTGCATTTCCTTCAAAGCCTGACCAGGAAAGGCACTAACAAGGAGCCTACTCCATACACAGAAATAACACACAAGGAAGACAGGGTGCTCTCTTTCAGTCAGAGCCAGGAATGTTAATTTTCTACTCTAAACTTTCCTATAGTAGCCCCTAGGCAAAATATACATAAATTCTTTAGTCATTAGCCCAAAAAAAAAGCTATAAAAAATAAATTACTGCTTTTCAGTTTGAATCCCATGTTTTTTAGTCTGTTGGGACCTTTTAACATCTTAAGGTATTTGTTCAATACTTTGGCTAGCTATCCCTCTTCCAATTCAAGGCCTTGCAGATTTTCAGTATGCCTTGCTTTTTATAGTTTCGACAAAATTGCAAATACCACCCGCTAGACAGACCAGGCCAGGTTCACAAGTCACAAAACATCAAGGGGATGCCCCCCAAAGGGTGGTCTTTATTTTGCCTCCTTGTGATAGGAGGAACAATAAAGTCACGCCAATTCAACAACCTAGCGATCCCATTCCATAAAACAAACCAAGTTGATCTGGCAACCCTTAGTAGAAACCATGGTCACCTACATCGACCGATCCCAACTTGCCTTCCTAAGTCTCCAAACTGGCCTATTTCTAAACCACTCTCCTTGGTCTGGGACTGACACCTGTACAGCTCTGGTTTCCAGGACAAACCTTTTCTGAATTTGGTCTATCAGCAATAGCAACGACAGTCTCTGGTTTCTTGACATTTGTCAGATTCCTCAAACACCGCAGAAGAGGTTCCCGATCACTATGGGGGCTCGGAAGAACCCTGGCCCTCTGACCTTAGCTCCCCGCTCCTGGGCCCCGGAGCCCCTCACATCGTGTTTGTCCACCCTTCCCAGGCCAGGGCTCCTAGACAGAGAAGAGCGATGGGAGCGAGTCCTTGCTGCAGCCATGCCCATGTGATGGGACGCTACAGGCCTTCGTTTCACCTCCCACTTTGCCCCAATTATTCCTGCTCTGCCAGTCCAGCAGAAATAAACCCACAGAGCACAAAAAACATGCAGACCTCCTCGTAGAGAATGCAGTGTCCCTAACAGGCAGATATCCACCAATAGAATCTTCAGCTATCTCCATTCGTCACTGAAATCAGGGCCCCCACGACAGGGCTCTACACAGAGCTGAGGGGAGTTCATAATTTTTACTGGTAACAATGACTAATGGGGAAAACAAAAGCTGCCATCTGGTTTCCAGTTCCCATCCTCTAATTTAGCTCTAGAACTTCATTTTCTCATCCAGTAAGCCTTACTCTATGCCCCATAAGTGACTTGACTCAGTAATGAGTGAGAGCATTGAGGTTCATAAGGATCTGCAAGCGGAGAAGGAAGGTCCCTATGGGCCAGCTCCTGCAAGCATCAATTACTACAATGCACAGTTCACCACAAAAAAAAAAGAACAGATTAAAAAATGTCCAGTTTGCAACTAGAGTTCTTAGAAAGGGCTTAACAATTATTAAACAACCCCATCTATCTGGTACTTATTGTTTTTGGATAATTTCCAGGCTTCATCAAAGCAGACATACATAACCTCTTGCCTCCATGCTGTGATGCAGAAGCCACAGACCACCGCTCAAAAATCCACTCTTTCCTGGGCTGGGCAGACTCTAGGAAAGGCTCAGTACCCAGGGGTGAAGACAGCCAGTATCTGCTTCTACTGCCGGGACAGATAGGCAGGCAGAGTGATTTCAGCACTAGATTCGACATAATAACTTCCTGCAAGACTTGCTTCAATCAGCAACTCTGAGGCCGGCCAGGAGAGCATACTCAGCTAGAGTGAGCACTGCAGTGCTGCCTGGCAGGCGATTTTTCAAGTACCTTCAGCCACAGGCAGGGACACCCTCCTGAGGCCCTGTCACCGCCCTTAGTCAGGAGAGTCTTTGCACCTTTCTGTTTTGGTCAGTTTCTTAGAGATTCAGAAGGAGAAGGGCTATGGGGAATCCGTTTCCTTTGAAGTCTCTTAAGAATCTGGCACTTATATGCAAGGAGCCAGGGAAATCCCCAGTCATGGTCTGCTTCTGAACATTTCATGACTGACCAAAACCAGTCCCAACACCGCAGGGGAAGCTGGTGGCAGGCAAGACGGGTCAGCAGAACAGTACGCACAGAACAGAGAACGATTTAGACCATTTCTCTGAGCAACAGTTTCCTTATCTGTAAAATGGGGCTAATCATATTCATTTTTCAGCACTGTGGGAAGATGAAAGGAAATGACCTTGCAGAAAGCTACTCTGTCACCCACAGGGATAAGCAGCTGTTAGCAAAAGCATCCCTTCAACTCAGGCAGCTGACAATGTGTTCTCATCACCAACTGTGCCTCTGTGAACTGGGTTAACTCTATCCTCATGCACTCGACCCAAGCTGTGTTTTTTTTTTTTTTTAACTCTTCCACAATCTCTTACCTGTCATTACTAGGCCAAAGAACTGGGCAGGAAGCTATGAGAGAAGCAAGCCCCCTACCATCCCCGGCCCCCCAACACACAGGTCCTTGTCCCAGGCACTGGGACCACCTCTTCTACCCATTGGGAAGGAATGGCCTACCCTTCACTGAGCAGCCTCTTGGAATGGGGGGGAGGGGTGTCTTAAAAAGTCCTGAGCTAAGGGCTTCCCAGGCATTACTGCAAACACTAATTTACAGCATTTGTGTACATTATCCTTCCTTATCCGCTGCAGGGCTCCAGGCTGAGACAAATACCAGGGAAAGTGGCAGACGGCATTCCAGATGCCAGGGACCTGGAATCCCAGCCCTCACTTCCCTGTGCCTTCGTAGCTGCTGGCCCTCTTGGGGTCTCAGTTTCCCCACCTGTAAGATGAGGGTGATTGCTATTATAGTAAATGCTAAGGGCACTTCCAGTCCTAATTCCTTCAATTTTGGGAAATCCATTTGTATCTCCTAATTCATGCTGACTTGGAGGCCACTCACGTCCACCAGGTTATCTGAGGACACGAGGCCCAGTCAGGATTTCTGTGCTGTTTAGGTGGCAACTGGGTGGCTGTGTGCATGGTGAGGAGGGCCTGGCCTGGCACCAGTGCAGCCAGGCACAGAGTGGGCACCCAACAGCAAGTGCTTGTAGACTCATGTTCCAGTGGAGCGCGCATCCTAGCTGGGGAGGGAGGGGGGGGATGTGGCGGGAAGGACACGGTTCCACTCACATGGGGCGTGGAACATGACGAGGACAGAGGAGTGCTCCTTCACAAACTGGTCAAAGTCTTCGTCGGTCAGGTGATAAACGGAGCCGCCCTCATCTGCCCAGGGAGTCTCGGGGACCTGGGGCTGTGGCGGCTGCGGACTGGAAGACCAAAAACAGGCAGAGCTCAGAGCAAGCCCCCGGCCTAGGCAGCCCTTACAAATCCAGCCCCCGACACAAAGTCCCCGCTGGTCCTGCTCCAAGAGCTTTCTGGAAGCTCTCACCACCACCCCACCTCCCACCCCCAGCGAAGGGGTGGGTGACATGGCCCTGCTCCCTCCACCGTCCCCTCAAAGCCCCAGAAGTGCTTAGCTGATATCCTATTATAAATAGTGGCTTTTAGCTGTAACTCTCCAGACAGCTCAAGAAAGCTCACTTCCTCCCAAGAATCGGGGGATTGTTAGCGTCTCAAGCTCTTTCAAATTTTCGTCAAACTGGCAAAAATAAATAGCAACAGCCAAGAGTGACCTTTGGAAAAGCTCACTGTTGTGTTTAGCATTGCCCCACAGGGCAGGGAGAGGGAGAGGCAAGAAGAGAAGGGAGGGGCTGTGCTTGTGGGGATGAGGAAGGAAGGAAGAAGGAAGAGACTGGGTATCTGAGCAAGAACTGAACTTGTGGTGGGGGGGAGGGCAGAGGCTGAGGGTTGGAAGGGGGGCTATCACATGGGAGGTGCATGCAGAGGAAGGGTCACAGTGAGGACGACTGGGGCCAGGAGAGATGCTACATGACTAGCCCTTCTGGGAGACTAGGGACAACTTTTTCTGGCTCTCCCAGAGGCACAGTGCTGCAGCAGAAAGAGCTGATCTTGGAGGTCAAATCTCAACTCTACTCCCCAAACCTGCAAACCCTCAGGATGCTGCCTCGCCTCCCTGGAGCCTGGTTCTGCTGGGGATTCCTCGGTGCTGACAGCTGCGTCATTGGCTATTATGAGGGGCAGGTTCGCAAGTGTGTGCTCTTGCACCAAAGATGAGGACGGGACTGGTGACATACACTTGCCTACGGCTTAAAGGGTCATAGGCACCACTGTTTTCTGTCTTTGAGAACCTACTACAGAAAAAGGTAGAAAAGGTAGAATTTTCAGTAACCAGAGCTGAGGATTCATAGAAGCCAATGGCCAACATGATGGAGACGGCCACTCCTGCCCCAGGCAGGGCCTGGCTCAGACAGTGCTCTCAGCAGTCTCTGTGGCTTTTGAGTGGGTCCTGCTGGCAGCCTCAGACACCCTGGTTCCAGTGGGAAGAGGCAGAGAAAGAGCACATCACTCTCATCCCTCGTGCACCTAATGTCAGACAGGGCTGGTGGTAAAATCAAGTTCTGGAATGAGTCACCGGCCAACACCATGAAAACCAGGTTCCTATAATTGGATTCAAAACACCAACGTCTCAACACACCAATTCCACTTCAGGGAATTTATTTTACAATACACCTGGCACACATTGAAATTACGTGCATTCGAGAAAGTCACTACAGATGATTTTTCATAGCCACGATTGGGAACAACCCAGAGTTGGTTGCTGGGAGCTGGCTAGGTGGGCTGCAGTCCATCCATACCACAGAGGGCTGAGCACAGTGAAGAAGAATAAGGAAGGGCATCAGGCACCGATGCAGACACACCGCTGGGATGTAAGCAACAGTCCATAATAGGCCAACTTTCACATAGGAAAATCTAAAAAATATTTATTCACATTTGTTTGCATCTGAATAAAGAAACTAACTAAAGTTGCTCCTCCAGGGGTAGGAAAGAGAAAAGGGTGTAGAATACAGGTGGAAGCAAAACTTTTCAGTGTCTGATTTTTAAGTATCCTTTTTAAAAATTACATGAATAAAATCTACTGGAGAATTAAATTAATTTTTTAAAATCCAGTAAGAACACACACACACAGAATGGAGGAAGAAACTGTGACTCAGCAGCAGCAGAACCAAATAAAAGCACCTGAGAAACTTCTAGTTAAATATGGAAGAGACCATACTCGAAAACCACTAAAATAATACGAGAGAAGAAAAGAGCATGAACCACCGGGAACAAAAAGGACAGGAAGGAAGACACAGTGAAAACAGAAAAAGAGGTCAGTGCAATTTTAGAAGCCAGAAAGCTAACTTAGCAAAACAGCATAGAAACCTGAGGACTGGCTCCAGGAGGGGCAGGGCAAGAACCAGGCTGATCTCAAAGACAAGGCTGAAGACACAGCAGCTCAGGCTGGGCTGGGGCCTGGGGCTCAAGCTAGAGGCACAGTGACGGGCACAGCTGTAGGGCTTCGGGGCCCTCACGCTGGCCGCCAGGCCACCACCCCTCTCCACACAGGTGGCAGTGGGAAGTCCACCTTCTAGGCGGGCCTGTGGAGTTGGCACAGTGGTAAGACGGTTTACTGGAAAGAGAGGGACTGAATAGAAATCTGAGCCCCAAGCACGATTACTGAATCATACTTTATATTGCTGGTTGCTTTGTAGACTAGGGCGCCCTCTAATCTCTGCACTTGCTGCACCTAATACACAGCAGATAGCCAAAAAATTACTTAAAAAAAATACTTTTTGTATATATGACAGCATGAAAGCAGAATAGCTGAAGGAACCAGAGGAGTCCCAAATGTGGGGACCATGCCAGCTGTCTTCAAATATTTCAGAATACACTGGGAAGAGAAACTGAGCTTTATTTTCCATGTCCCTCCAGAGAACACCAAGAAGTAGAACCATCAAAGAAAGTTCTGCTCAACAGAAGTAAGAATGTTCCGTCTGCACCGGAGAGAGGGAAAGAAAGTGAAACCGGGAGTCAGAAGTCCCAGGTTTAAGTCCTGTTTTCTCCACTGAACCAGCTCCAAGGGCTTTCAGACACTCAAATTGACTGAACATCTACAAGACGGTGTATTTATAGACCTTTCTTTAGATACCACTCAAGTACATTTAGACAGATGATGGATGTGAGATACTTTGTAAATTTATAAAGCACTAGCCAAATGTTCCTACATATCTATCATTCATAACCTAAATCCTAAGAATTACCAAAAGTGAGAGGGTGACCTCACAGTGTGTCAAGGCCCACTCCTCTCCCAGGTCTTAGAGTGAACTTGGGGACACCCCACCTACTCTGGAGGAAAGGCGAACACAAACAGGGAATGCTGGGGCCCTGCAGCCCGCCCCTCCACCCAGGGCTCTCCAGGGCTGGAAAGTGGGCACAGGCCCCTCACCCATGGTAGGTTCATATGCCAGAGATGCACCGCAAGCATGACGAGTTAGGAAAGCTTTCCTTTTGCTTTCAGCTCACTTCTAGTTGGCATAAAAATGCACAGGCGGAAATGAGTGGCTAGGTCAAAGTGGATCGCACACACACGCACTCTACCTGCCCAGCCCAAGGCGGTGGCATGAAATCTGCAGAGCGGAGAGGGGAGATGCAGGCTTAAGTGGGGCGCAAAATGCAGGCCTTCGGGGCGCGCCCGCCACGGTCTAGGCAGTCTGCAGAGCCCTGGGCCACGACGACACCAGGGTCTCCTGCGCTGCCTCACACCGCGCCTAAGCACCAGCCACTTGTCAAGAGAGCGGGATACAGGCTCTTCCTCCAGGGTTTATGGAGGTCATCCCGACATCTGCCGGGGCTGGATCTACCCTCAATCTTCCTACACAGCTCATACGAGCTGTGAGCAGGCAAGGAGAGAGAGGCCCAGGGCAGAAGTCCAGGGAGGCAAAAGCTGAGATCGCTGTTACCTGACCCTTGGGATTTGGGGGCAAACTGGTAAAAATTTAAGATACCTGGCACGGGGGAAAAATCCACATGCAGAGCTGGATGTTTGCTGGCAGAAAAATCTGGAAGGAAGCTCACCAAAATATCAGCAAACCTTATCTTTGGCTTGTGGAGGAAGCTTTTCTTTTTGTTTTACATTTTAAAATGTTGTTTTTAAATATAACAACACATGTCACTTGAATAGGCTTACAACGGGAACGGAGTTTTAAAAAACAAAGTCAGTTGGCAGCACAGAGACAGCAGGAGCTCTTGCTGAGGTGTGAGTTGGGGGGGACGTACTAGGGGTGCGCGGGGGCTGCCTTCCTGTGTCACTGGCGGGAAGAGTGGGTCACAGCTTCGTCTTCCAAGGAGTTGCCCACGTGTTCTCTGGCGGCCAGCGAGGCGGCAGCTGGGGAGACCCGGAGCTCCCTTCCTTCCCCTGCAGTGCCCCTCGCGCCCGGCCCGGCCTTCAGTCCCCTAGTGAACTAGAAGCCGTTACCAAGGTGTCTCTGCCACGCAAGGTGAGCAGGAGGAGGGG